CTGCGGCTCATGAGCCACATGCGGCTCTTTGGCCCCTTGAGTGTGGCTCTTCCTAAGCCTTAGGAGTACCCTAATTAAGTTAATAACCATGTACCTACCTATATAGTTTAAGTTTAACAAATTTGGCTCTCAAAAGAAACTTCAATCATTGTACTGTGGATATTTGGCTCTGACTAATGAGTTTGCCGACCAATGGGCTAGGAGAACGGGCCCCACGGCTAAACCGGCTTCGGAAAGGCTACATACTGTCTGTCTCCGAAATGACCACAGGTCCTTTTGCATCTGGAGGGAAAAGCAACGCACCATCCTGTTTAACTTAATAATTGTGCCGCAATACATTTTATAGCCCATTTTTGTTCCCCTCGTCACATCCTGTCAAACTCCAACTCCAAGGGCCATCTTTCAGGAAGTGCTTCTGTGAAGACAGCGTAGCCCAGAGTTGGAGGGAACACACCTGCAGCCAGCTGAGGCCAACCTGAGCCCCTACAGCCAGGACAGCCTGAGCCCCTACAGCCAGGACAGCCTGAGCCCCTACAGCCAGGACAGCCTGAACCCCTACAGCCAGGACAGCCTGAGCCCCTACAGCCAGGACAGCCTGAACCCCTACAGCCAGGACAGCCTGAGCCCCTACAGCCAGGACAGCCTGAACCCCTACAGCCAGGACAGCCTGAGCCCCTACAGCCAGGACAGCCTGAACCCCTACAGCCAGGACAGCCTGAGCCCCTACAGCCAGGACAGCCTGAACCCCTACAGCCAGGACAGCCTGAGCCCCTACAGCCAGGACAGCCTGAACCCCTACAGCCAGGACAGCCTGAGCCCCTACAGCCAGGACAGCCTGAACCCCTACAGCCAGGACAGCCTGAGCCCCTACAGCCAGGACAGCCTGAACCCCTACAGCCAGGACAGCCTGAGCCCCTACAGCCAGGACAACTTCAGCATAGCCTGGGCTTCTAATGACAGAGGGAGCTGGGAGCTCACACCAGGGTCCCCCTGTCACTGCACCCCAAACTGTGGCAATTAGAGGGGAGGCATGGATGGTTTTCAGGAGGTGAGAGTTGGCACTCTGTGTTTCATAGACCCAACCCTCCCCCTCCGCCAGTTGAGCTGGCAAAGGTTAAACACCCATGTCCTCCAGGCAACCCCACTGACCAGCACCCCGTCAGGAGGCCGCTGTCCCTCCCAAGAGCCAGGACTGGCTTTCAGCTCCCATGTCCACTGAGCACACGATCACTGCTGGGAGACTGGCTCCGCAGCCTGCAGGCTGAGCTCAGACCCCAGCACTGGCCCCAGGGGCCTTGTGCATGTCCCCTAGCGTCCGTGTGTCCTTCCGCTGAGTGAGGGCATCAGTCGCATCTAAGGCTGGATGTTATGAGGCTAAAAAAAACAGCAGAGCACCTGCCACGTGGTAGGTGCCTGATCTACGCATTGAATCAATAAAGTGCCGAGTGACAGACGGGGGGCGCTCAAGAGGTGCTTCCTGCAGGAATGAGGAGATCTGGGGGTGACGTGGGGACATGCCCAGGACCGGAGCAGCAGCTCTGGGTACCTGCTCCTTGGCCTTTCTGAGCAAACCCCTCATCGGCATGGACCTGGGTCTTCCACGAGGAAAGGGGTCCTGGGTGCTCAGGTGGCCTGAGCCCAGGGCCGAGGCACCCACCAGGGGTGCAGACGGCGCGCTGGCCAGACTGGGTGTCGCCTAGCCGCACGCAGGGCTGCAGGATCCTATCAGCTGGGCCATCACGGGGCAGACGGGAATATGGGAGGGTGTGGGGATGTGGGGTCCAGACCCTGCTGGACAGAGGGACCAAAGGCAAAGTTCTCACGCCTCTCAAGGGCAGGCCGGGCGGAGGCCACCGTGACAAGCGCACGCCTGTCCCGTCCCCCCGCGTCCCCTCCCCGTGACCTCTGTCCTCTCCTTCCTGCCCTTGGGAGAGATGGCCCCTTTCCCGGGCCTGCACCTGACCAGGTCTCCCGGGGCTGGCTCCCCTGCCGGCCCAGCACACAGTGCCACTCTGCAGACAGGAGGCTGCTGGCACGCAGGTAGTGGCGGCAAAGACTGAGGGCCATTGTTCCCCGGCTGACCCAGAACTGCTGGCCAGGTTCAGCTGTCAGGGAGGGGTGGGAGGGAGGGGTAAGCCCAAGGTGGTCACCTCTGGCCACCAGGGTGCCAGCTGGTAGGCCAGCCACCTCCCCAAGGTCTTGCTGGGCTCCGGAATCGGATGCAGGCCGCTGGGAGCCCAGTCTCCTTCCCGCCTCTCTAAGCCACTAGCTGTGCTTCTGGGCTAACCCACCTGGGGGGGACGGGAGTGGGCCAGGGTCCCAGCCAGGGCCTGGGGGCGGGGGCAGGGGCTACAGAGAGGCTCTGAAGACAGCCCAGGGTCAGAGGGAGAACTCTGAGGTCAGGGTTCATGATCAGAGGCTCAGAGAGGGAGCGGGGTGCAATGCCCCCCAAACTTGTGCATCCTTCTGGGGAGAGGCTCTTGTCTTTCATCAGATTCTCCAAGCGGCTCCTGACTCCACGGAAGGCAGAGACAGCTGAACCCAGAGAAAGGCTGGACCTAAATTCTGGGGGGGCATGCCTGGGCCAGGACCATGAGGCACCCCCGCCCCCGCCATCTTCACGGGCTGACAGAGACCTGTCCAGCTTGGGATGCTGTGTCTCTCCCAGGTGTCCCTTCTCCCCGCTGCC